AATTAACACTGGAGAATTAATTCTTAAACTGTTCACTCAGCACCCTCTTGGACTAACCAACCCACAGGCTGGTGTCTGGGACTCAAACAGGGCCTCACCCCTCTTGCTGCAGGGACTCTAGGCATACCTGTGCCCCTGACTGCTCTCTACTCTCCCAGGCCCAAGGAGCTGGAAGGACAGAAAGAACCCAATCGTATCAATTGAGGCAATGCAGTATTTTTTAATTGACAAAGGAGAACATAGAGATAGTGGGATGAAAATGTTTATTTCAAAGTAAAATTATATTATCTGTTCAAAACTATTTGTATTTAAAATGCCTTTGCAAAAAGAAGAGAAAGAAAAGATTGGTCATCAAATATATTTCCTAATAATCACTTATTTAGGAATCACACTTTGCATACATTTTTATCACACATTTGCACAAACAGACTTTTTGCGAATGGAGTATGCCCCTGCGCCCTTTCTCAGCACTATAGGGTCACAAGCGTGGTGCATTTTGGCTGGAGGAGCATCTGAGTTGTGCTGTGACTTCTGATCGGCCCCTCAGACCGTCTCCAGTAAGCTCCTAGCTCCCCTTTGGGTTACAAGCCTCTCGCTGCTAATGAAGGGCGTGGCTAGAACATTTCCAGTTGCTGCTTTGCCTGGGTCCCACCTTATCATTTAGTCAGGAGCATCTCTTCCTTTTGCTCCTATCTTAGCCTTATCATAGACTAGGAGAGTGTCAGCTTTTGCTGCGGACTGTTCTCTGAGCTTCTGCATGGAGGGGAGGACCCTCGTGACAGTTACACAGCTGGAGCTCCTTGGTGTCCCTGGAGCTTTCAGAACCAGAGCTCAGTAGATTTCTTCTTGGTAGATTTCAGGACCTGAGCTCCAAGCACTGACCCTTGTGTCTGTTACTGCTGGAAGCTCTCCATGGTTCTGAGGAATAGTCCCTACTACCCTCCACCCATGGTTGCAAGGCCCAGGGAAAGACCAAGGGATGTAATAAAATCATTGCCATGGGTTACATTGTAGCCTTTGTCAAATTGTGGTTTCATAAGCTTCAACACTCCATCTCAGGGCACTCTGGGCATCTTCACTTCTTTTATCATCTTTCCTCAAGCAAGGGAATCCACTGAGCAAGGATTAGTCTTCACCATGTACTGCCAACCAAAATTTCAGGGCAAATTTGACTGGCGTGTTTGACACATGTTGAATACATTTACAACCTGCCTTGCAAGGCAACAGGAATGAATGCCTTCTAACAATTCTCAATGAAAGGATTCTATGGTGAGGATGCTAGACAAAACATGTCTGGTGATACCTCATTATAGCTAGGAATCAATTATGTGGCATAGTTTTGGTTTTTTTTTTAGGCAATTGGGGTTAAGTGACTTGCCCAAGGTCACACAGCTAGTAAGTGTCAAGTGTTTGGTCTGAGGCCGGATTTGAACTCAGGTCCTCCTGACTTCAGGGCCGATGCTCTATCCACTGTGCCACCTAGCTGCCCTGTGGCATAGTTTTCTTGGCAAAGGACACCACCAGGAGCTATTCCTCATACTTTGGGACTGGTTTCTTCCATTGATAATGTCATGAGCACAAATAATTTTTTTTAATTCTTCTAATGTAGTATAGACCACTTAGGGCAGCTAGATGGCATAGTGGATAAAATGCAGGGCCCGGAGTCAGAAAGACTCATCTTCCTGAGTTCCAATCTGGCCTCAGCCACTAACTAGCTTTGTGGCCCTGGGCAAGTCACTTCACGCTGTAGTCCTCAGTTTCCTCATCTGTCCAATGAGCTGGAAAAGGAACTGGCAAACAACTCCAGTATCTTTGCCAAAAAACACCCCCAAATGGGATCATGGAGAGTCAGATACAACTGAAAATGACTGAATAAAAACAGCAGCAGCAGATCATTTAACATTACCTATTATTTGCTGGAGTTGGGATTTGCACATTTCTAAATGTTTCTAAGCATTGGCTCACTGAGTAAAACTTGAAAAGAAAGCATGGGACTTTTCTGTGTGGAATATGCAGTAGAGCCAGGTTGAAGGATAATAATACTTAGCTATTACAAGCATCCTCGCTTTGCTTGAGAAGCAACAGCCCATTCTGTTAAAAAAAAATTACCCATCAGACATTGTGGCTCTTCATTTCTTTCGTCTGTGAACTTGGGTCTGATGGGAACCACGTTGCTTATTACCTTTTAGATTGTCAGCTCTAGAAGAAATTTCATTGATGGAGTCATTGTCATTGGAATCAAATGAAGACTATTCTTTCCCTTCCTCATGTGTTGTGATTGTAGCATTGACGTCGTCGAATTCACTGTCTGAAATTTCACATAGGAAATTTCTTCTTAGTTCTAAAATCTTTTCACCGGAGAATCCTCAGTTTTTATCCGTAAGGACACAAAGAAAATTGTATTACTATTACAACCAAATTATAAGTTCTGAAAATCTGAAAAAAAGAACCAGAAAAATTTTAGAATAAATTAGTAAAATAGTAGAAAATACATGAAAAGATAAAATTTTCATTTACTCTATAAATATGTTATTCACAAGGTTTTATTAATGATGAATTCTACTGGTGTTCCAAGGAAAAAAGACTAATGGGCAAAGGAATGGCTCTACAGAAATAGATGTAGCAGCATTGCCTCTTATGTACAACAAAAGTATAAAGTATTTAAGCATAGGCATCATTTAACACATCTTGTCCCTAGAGGTAAAACCACATGTTTTATTTATTTCGCGATTTGACAAATGTTTAGAATGCTAAAGAACATTGATAACAAAGATATAGAAAAAGTCATGTGGTGCAAAATAATAATACCTGAGCCTTTTTGAGTTCCAAGTATCTATTTCCATTTGTTTATTTATTCTTGCATCAATTGACACCCTGGGCCTTCTGGTATTTTTTGTTTTTTGTTGTTGTTGTTGTTTTTTTTTTAATAAATCCATGGTTCTTTCTGCTGACAAGTAAGTCTTGACCAGACTTATTAGCACTGAATATTCCCAAGGAGATGCCATTTATGGGAACACTGTGCTCTGATAGTGATTCTAGGAACCACTGTTTTATCAGGACAATGCCATTAATCTTTTTCTTGAAAAAGAATCCTTTAAATCCCCTCCAAAAACACTCAACAATTTTTGGCCTGCTTACCACGTTTCCACAAAGACTGCAGTCTTCCACATATCACTTCAAGTCACTCCTCTGAAAACTCCATTTTCAGGTCTTTAAGCATAGAGTTGATTCCATTTCAGGGAAAAACTAATCCTTGGCACCAGTGACAACTCACAGGTATATAACACTTCATCGCCGACAGCGCCCCTCACAGCACCCTGACGAAGTAGGTCACGAATGGCTCTAATTCCCCTTATTTTACAGATGAGGAAACAGGGCCCCTTAGGGAGTCGAGGAGTTGCCTGAACATCGCCAAGCCAGCGGGAGCCAGGGCCAGGCTGTCGGAGTCTCTGTCAGGACTTTTCTCAGTCTGCCACACTGATATGGATGAAATCGTGTGCCTGAGAACACCCTTTGCTAACCACAAAAGTGACTGCAGAAATGAATTCTCCTTTCATGGGAAGTGCGGGGAAGACCATTGAAAGCCTCACTTCATGTAAATGAGAACACAATACCCTTTTGGGGATTCAAAAATTTCAGTCTTTTCCTTCTCTGGCTTCCCTGTTTTGTGCACCCAGGATTTGTCTGCAGTGACAGAAATTTAAAAGCTTTGGAAGAGATGGATGGTGAAGTCAATGTGTTGTATCTGCTGGGCAACTAACAAGGGAAGGAGTAGGTTGAAATAAAGAAAGGAAACTGCTGTGATTGTAACGTAATAAATATCTTCTAGTTTTTGTCTGGATAGAATGAATTACATTTAGAAAGAATCTAGGCTGCAGAAATGCTATCAATCGGCCTGGGTCAAGATAGGGCTCAATGTCCAGCAACAGTATCAGAGGCCAGATATGGTCCCTCTGTGACCCAGAAGTCAGGAAGACCTGAGTTCCAATTCAGTCTCAGACCCTTCCTAACTGTGTGACCCCAGACAAGTCAGTTATCTGCCATCTGCATCAGTTTTCTCATCTGTAAAATGGGGATGATAATAGCACCAACCTCCCAAGGTGGCAATGAGGGTAAAATAAGATTTTTGTAAAGAGCTTTGCAAATGTCAAAATACCCTCTATATAAAAGCTAGCTATTATCATTATTACTATTAAGTCATGTCTACAAGTTCAGTTACTCCCTGGGCTCAACATGGATGAACAAATAGAGTTTGAGATGTGAAACAAATGAACTGAGCCGTCCCCCCAAACTTCAGGATGTTTGCCTTGCTGTTCACTTTTTAGATGGGGGATACCTGGTACCACCAGTATTCATATGGTATTCCCAAATGTCACGCTACGACCTCCTTGAAATTGCTCCATGTAGCATATGAAGCCCATTTTTAAATGCAGAAATGACATGATTATGGAAAATATAAACACCGGAGGCCCATGGACAATTTAGGTTGTAACATAAAACGTCAAGGGGTTTTGTCAGCTTGTTGGGTCCTCTGGAAGACCAAAACTTGCCCAGAGTGTGTTTGTATTGAGAGCAGTGCTCCTGAGTTTGTCCTAGGAATTACTTCTGCCTTCTGTTTAGTTTCCCAAACCTGTGTTTATCCGTTATGTGTTCTCACATTAAACAAATTAAAGTGATTTGTGCTTCTGTTTTTATTCCAAATGTCAAACACAAAGTCACTTTATATTGAAAAGGGGAGGAAACCTATTCTCATTTAAAGGGGACTTTCTTGAATCCCAGACATAGCCGTCAGTGCCCTGAAAGGGAGGAAACCAGGCCTTGTTTATATCTGATTACTTTTTCCCATTAGAGACCTCATTTTCAGCCTGCTGATCTAAAGTGAAAATAAGACTTGTGATCACCAGTCGTTTCGAGGAATATAGAAGACTCAGTAAAGCAGATATGAAGGAGAGTCAGCTACACTGATATTCCCATTTCATTTCACCTTTTCCCCCCTTTAGGAATATTACTGGCACATTTCCTGATTACCCTAAGGAAGAAGAAGGGGGTTCTGCAATTATTTTTTCGGAAAGGACTCCACAACAGGTATGTGTATAACTTAAAGATAAAATATGTATGAATAATGGGAGGGTTTTTAAGCTCAGAAGAAACCAACTCAAAAGGTTACCAAGACATTCATTGCAGCCTGATATTTCCTTACATTAAAATGTTCTCTTGAGGTTCACTAGACCTATCATCTTTTAGGATATGATTTTAAAACATATTCAACAAGAGAACAAGTACGTCCCTTCTTTCTTGCCAGAGGTGGGGGACAACGGGGACAAAGTGTTGCCTTCTCTAGTAGACTCAGTTGTTGTATTAACTTCACTGAACTGATTTTTTCCTGTCTTTTTAAATTCTCTTTTATAACAGATGACTCTGGGTAGGGGAGCAGGAAGGGGCATATTTGGAAGTGAAGGTGATTTTTAGAAAACCCTGATATTGATAAAAAAATGTTTCAAATAAATTCAGTTTCATTCTTGATTTGTCTTTGAAAAGAGATTGGATTGCACTTGATTTTCATATTCCCAACAAAATGCATAAATCTTGTGGGTTATTGGCTTTTTTGTTTTCTTGGTGGTGATTGGGAGGAGGATAGTTCCAATATTCCCACTGATTCTGTAATAGAATGGTACTCATTGACTCTTCATAGATTCACTACGTATTACTTAATGCTACTCTTTAACTTGCCCTTTGGCCTTTTGGAGACCTCATTGGAGTATTTTACATTAGTGAGATAGCCATATCCTCAGAAAAGTTCTCTAAAAATGTTCTCTCGAAAAGCTATTATGCAGTCCACTAAAAACAAATAAAGGAAAAAGCCCTCACTGTATTTATGCAGGAAGTTTGTATTAATGTGGCCCAGATATGGGATCAGGGCTCTAGGTCTGGAGGGAACCTCGGAGGAAACTGAGGCCAAAGGAGGTTAAGTGACTTGCCCACAGTCATAGGCAGTCAATCTCAGAGGCAGGATTTAAACAAAACCATGGGACTCATAGAATATGTGTGTGTGTGTGTGTGTGTGTGTGTGTGTGTGTGTGTGTGTGTGCGTGTGTGTGTGCGCAGAGGAGTGCTTATCTGCTTGCTGGTATACACGCAGTATCCCTAGAGTCTTCAGTCCAGTTACCAAACATGTTCATTTAGAGCAGTAAAGAACTTTGGAGACCAATGAGCCCAATCCCACCAATGTCATCCCCTTATCACAAAAAAAAAGAGACAAGTATGAATCACATGAAACTCTTGAGGAGTTCATTCAGCATGGTGCTTTGCTGCCATTCTGCTCCCTTGAATCTCTCAAACTCTTAAGACAATAAGAGGAGGGCCAGTGATGGTGCACATTGGTGAGGTGTCTTTATGATCTCTCTTTGTCAGAGTGAAAATCATAGGCCCTTGGGGCTTTATCCTTTCTTTCTTCAGGCTTATGTGAATGCCCACTGGGACTTCCCCATCCAGATTGTATCATCTGGGCACTTCCATACTTCACACAGCTTCTTAAGGATCCCTAGAATGTCAGCCAAGAGCCCCCTGAAGTCCAGAGTTTTTACTTCTTCTGATCCAGGCTTACTCCAGATACCTGTTGTGTTTTATATTTAAATGTTCCCTTTGATTTAGGTTACCTGCCACTTGGTAGTTCCCAGGCTCAGAGGCCTGAATAGGTGCATTTCTTAGAAAGGGGGGTGATTCATGTTAGGAGTACCTAGTGCCCCTAAGCAGACCACAATTGGATTGTGGGAAGAAAGGCAGAAGGGAAAACCAAGACTTCTCCCTTGAGGACCACTTAGAACTGACACACAAAACTCTCCAAACATCTCTGTACCAGATGGATTATTTGGACAGCTCCTCTGTGGATAGCTCAAAGAGATCATGGTACCATTGGCTCATAAATCCAGAACTAGAAAAGCCTTGAGAACTAAGGAGAACCATCTAATCTAGTCATCATTCTACAGATGAAGAAACTGAGGACCAGCGAGGTGTTGTCATTTACTCAGGGTCACACAAATAGTATCAGATGCAGGATTTCAAGCCAGGTCCTTTGAATCCAAATGCAGTGTTTTTTCCCCACCATGCAAGACAAGTGATGATCCAGCCTCTGTTTATTGTTCATTGTGCCATTACTAGTAATTTCACAGCATTCTCATCTGTAAATCTATCACTTAGTCTGTTAACTTTCATATATTTGCCCATGTCTTCTTTGGGGTCCATAGTGTGGTCAGTTTTTATATAAATTACATGACCTTTAAAATAAAGGATATATTCTTTGCCTATTCCATTTGGTTCACTATATAATTCTGTGAGATCTTGTTTGTTTAATATTTTGTTTAACTCTGTGACTTCCCTGTTATTTAAACTTTTTGCTAGATTTATCTTATTCTGATATTGAGGTATTTGAATTTCTTGCTCATTGTTTTATTTATCTGTTTCTTCTTGCAACCTGTAAGGTCTTCCCTTAGGAATTTTGTTGCCAAATTGTTAGTTGTGCATATATTTGAGAATGATATATTAATGTTTTACTTCGAACCTTTTTAACATTATATAATGCCCTCTATCTCTTTTGTAAGATAGCTATGCAGTAATGGAAAGAGAAATGGTCTTAACCAGAAACCCCAGGGTTCAAGTCCAGCCTCTGACACATACTGGCAAGACTCTTCATCTTTCAGTACTCTATGCAGTTGTCTAAGACTCTAAAATTCAGAGGAGGTGCTGACCTACAGTGATAAAAATAGTTTCCTAATCTGAGAGTCCCCTATACGCATGAAATCATAGGTCCTGACTTTATCCTTTATCTCTCTCTCGTTTTTATCCAACTTTGTCTAATATCATCAGAACCACATTTTTAAAAAATAAATTGGCAGTAGTATGGTAAAGTATATTGTGAGAATCTATTTAGATAGTTTGGGATTAAAGTTTCCCCCGTCAGCATAATGTTGGATTCTTCTCTTTAAAGCATTTTATAACTTTTATGTTTCATTTGTCCCATTTGTATCTAGCATCCCAATTGCTTGTCTCTCCTTTGTTCATTCTGTCAGAAGCAGATGTGTACTTTTTATTCCGATTACTTTGATTAGGAATCCACATTTAACAGTACCTCCCTCAACAAAGTTTCACTTTCTTATATTGAGAACTCTGTCTTCTACATTATTACCATGAACTTTCACTCACGGATATTTCTGTCCACCCCTCTTCCCTTCCCCTTCTTTGGCTTCTTTCCTCCATGTCTCTGAAAACTGTAGTGATTTAAATAGGGCGAGTTCCCTGAGGGTTCGCCTACTCTGTAAGCAACTGGTGTGTCTCCCATATTTTAAAGGTTTTTGCCTTTTGAGATGGGAGGCTGGCTGGTTGTTCAGCACCTCACCTGAAGTTACTCTCTCTGTAAACTTTACAAAGCCTGATTGCTTCTCAGATAGCCATCTGCTGCCCTGAGAAAGCAAATGAGGTTTGGCTAGGTAGATAAGTCTGGTCTCATGGTGCAGATTCTGTGAACCTCCCTTGAAAAAGACACCATGGTCCTCCTCAGAAGCAGTAATGACTTTTTGCACCTTGGACAGATGGCCCGAAAGGCACCCTGGTTAGAGAGCGAGTGTGGGTGACACTCCATTTGAGGAGGGAGCGAGGATATTATGACACTTGCTGGAGTGACCGCTCTCCCACTCCCTCTCCCCAGCGTGATATTTGGAAACTTTGATATTGGAAAAAAAAGTCCTGGCTCATTGTTTGGGATCACAACAGGGTCCCATCTGGAAAGGGTGAAAAATGAGGCCAGAACAGGGATGATGAACTGGGAAAACAAGGGAGGGATATCAGTGCTGGAGGCTGTGGGGAAGTTAGAGAAGAGGCTTAGGAATGAGAAAGTATGATGGTGGAATGTTAGGAGGTTTTCTTCAGAGAAGGGATTTTCAGATTCAAGATTTAGAGGTGGAACGACTTTGGTTGATAAGATCTTAGGTACAGTCATCATGCTATTTGTATCCATTGATTGAGAAAATTGGTATCGCTGGTAGTGCTGGAGACTAGATGCTATTGGTAGTGCTGGAGCCAACATCAAAGAGACTAGACACCCCCAACCCCCATAAAGTACTGGAGAGCCCTGGGGGGGAGGGGTGAAGTGTAACCTCCCTGACCTGCAGACAGTGGGGCCCAGGATAGTCTCTGTCACTTATGAATTTAGGAAAGTTTTTAAATCAGCTTGTATTTCATTAAGTACAAAAGTACCAATGTATATTAGAGAGACCGAAGGGGGAATACCCAGCTCTGAATCCTGCCTCAGCAACTTACTAGCTATGTTACCCTGGGCAAGTCACTTACCCTCTCAAATCCTTCAGTTTCCTTGTCTGTCAATGGAGATAAAAATTTTTATAACCCTATAATCCCAGGGTTATTGAGAGAATCAGGTGAGATAATATCTATCAAAGCTCTTTGCAAACCTTAAAATGCTATATAAATACGAGATATTGTTGTTATTGGGATTGTAAATTTAATAGTAACATATATGCGTGTATTCACACACACACATATGCCAGATGTATTTTATCCATTCCACGGAAGGCACTATCCTGAGTCGGCCCCCTGAATTTCTAGCTAGAGCTAAATGAATAGCACAGGGCCAGTGCTTGGGGCATGCATGGATTTGCTAAACCCTGGCAGTAACTCTTCGGTCCTCAAGGAGTCTTTTGTCCACAGGTTGGGAACCATTGCCCTGAACCACATGGTTCTTGGATTGTTATTCATGTAACTCCGATAGATTTCTTACTTTCCTTTGGGCTGTTGTTTGCAATGAATAACAAGGCTCCCCAGTCTCAATCTAAGTAGTTTTAGGCAATAACAGAAAAGCACAAGAATAACTCTTTTTTTCACCATGAAGACTGAATAAATACCCACACTCCTACTCCTGAGAGTATATTGAATTGACCAACATGTCCTCTTGCCCAACTCCAATGAAAGAAACTCCTCCACCCTCCCCCAAAATCAATTCATTGTAAGCTTTTGTGATGAACCCGAGCTTAGATGTGTTTCTGCTGCCTTTTGTACATTTGAATATACTGAGGAGC